GTGTGGGGGAGAAACAAACATACCCAATGCAACACTGTATTATATTCATTTGTCTTTTCTTTAACCTCTCATTAACATTTTGTATTGCCTTTTATCTCCATCACCCAGGGATTAATTGGTTCTAACTTTATTAAGTTAACAAATGATCTCTTCAGACAAAAGTGCTAACTATTATCAACTTTACCTGGACCACCAATATGTAAGGATAGAGAGTGCTGTGGTGTGAATATCTGTGACTTCCAACATTCATATATTGAAATCCTAACTCCTGATGTGATGGTATTTGGAGGTAGTGCCTTTGGTAGTTGATTAGGTCCTGAGGTAAGGCCCTTATAAATGTGATCCGAACTTTTAGGAAAGGAGCAGAGTCAGAATGTCAGGCAGGTCATCCAGCAGGCACAGCTCAAATGTTACAGCTGCACAGGTGAGGAGATTGTGACTCCTAGAAACATCTGTGTCACCTGCAGGAAGCCTAATACACTGAGTTGCAGGCCGCAGCCTGGGCAAATGCCAAGGAGGATGGATCAGGTGGAAGGTCCAAATGCTCTTGCTTATGGTTGATGGAGTTTCCTTCATGAGAAACTGGGAAAGTTGGAATCACTGTTCTCGAGTTAGAAAGGGCCTGCAGATCATTTAAATCTATGGTTTGCTGCTTCTTCTATAATCTGAGAACCCCATGTATAAATAATGTCTGTCATGAATGTGCAGCAGGAAGAACATCTGAAAGGGCTACCCAGGTGGAAAGTAATTCAGGGGACCCAGAACTGTGGTCTCTGCTGCTAGCATGCTCTCCTGCCACTCACAAAAGTGCTGAGGTCACCCTGAGAGTTAGATCACCTATAGCTTAGGGACAGCCTGTGTCCAAGCTGTCCTCTCTAGTCTTGTCCATTCAGCTCTGTCTTCTACCCTTGCCTACCTTTGTCCAGTTCTCCATACATTGTCAGTGAGCTTTAAAAAACAGAAGTCTGATCACCTCTCTCTCCATGACCTCTCATAGCATGGAATAAATGCAAATTCCATATGGGCCACATGTTCTGGCCCTGGCCTGTCCCGTCCCAGGAGTATCATTGTTCATTACTTACTCACTGTAGACCTCCGAAACTGACCTTCCTGTTTCTAGAATGTTTCAGTCTCCTTCCTGGCTTGTGCCATGCAAATCCTGCCCCATCTCTGTAATGCTTCTTCTCATCATTCACTTTCCCCATCTGTGACATTTTGTCTCAAACCTATCCCAAAGTCAGAAGAACATCATGATATTATTTACTTATTAAGAGCTATTACCCTCACATTATCTTGTTAATGTATTGTTTTACTTGTTTCTTAACCACTTCTTGCATGGTGTGAAAGGCATGAGGAAAAAACAGGAAGTTGCTGGGAAAATCTTTGGTAAACATTTCAGCAGTTTATCCCTTTCTCATGAAGTTTGAGGCTTGCAAATGAGAAGATTTCCTTCTAGAACTGAAATGCAGTGAGATTAGAAAAAGTGCCTGTCATTCTAGGCTATACCCTCAGTATCTAGAACTGTGACTGGCACTGAGACTCTATCAGAGATGGTTTGAAAACCACCCTTTTTATATAAATTTGGTTTACCAGTGAGTAAATCATCAGTGTATTTGTGTCACATACCTTTTGTATTTATGTTCATTTTAAGTGCTCAGTAGTTAAAATTACTAAACATAGTGAGATATTTGGACCTAACAAACATACAACATGATCCCTAAGTGGTATGAACTGTTTAGTTATGGTTTGGGCACAGTTTCATTCTTTCAGGTCCTACCAAGATTTACAAAAGGCTGACCACTAAGGAGAATGGCTGGTTATCTCTTTTTAATTCAATGTAAAACACTTCTATTCAAATAGGAGAATATTTTGACAAATGGTCTGGCATGTGTGGTGGTTCTGAGACCACTTGTCAATCTCTAAAACACTCTGGGTTATGGCAGATACAAGTGGCCAAGCATGGGGGATGCAAAGATAAACTTGAAGAATAGTCCAGTTTTCTCAGAGCTTACACCAATGGGAATAAAAGGAGACAGATATAAGGAGTTGAATTGGTTATTTGAATCATGTGCTAACTACTGTTTAATTCTGTGACAAAGTGAGTCACTCTGTTAGGGATAAGCTATTTGAGAAGTGTCTTCTGGGAGAAAAAAGTAAAGGCATTCCAGGTAGAAAGAATGAATAAAGTGCTAAAGGAAGAGAGTGGACAGGATGTTCATGGAATAGCAAACCCTGAGTGTGCTTAGAGGGCAGGGGCTTCATAGAAACAGAGAGAACTGGGGTAGGTGGACATAAGGGGGTGCTGTGTGTTGCAGCTAGAAAGGTAAGTAGTAAATATAAGTGTTATTTCAAAATCCAACTGTACAGAAAATGAAACATTTTATATAATATAATTTTAATTTTGAGTCCCTATTAGCTAAAGTGACAGAAGCCCCATCTCCATTGTTTTAGGATAGCCCTGGCCTTTCTCTGGGGTATGTCTGGGATACCAGCCATAGCTGCAGATGAGTGTGAAGGACAAGTGTTGTTCAGCACCATCTTCTACATAGCCATTCCACCAAGTTCTCTTTATTCCTTTCTCTTAGGAGCACTGGAATCTTTCTATTCCTTCTGTATTTCTCTAGGCCCAAGAAGGCTCTGGGAAGCTCTCCTAAGGTCATCCTCTGAGCTTACTATGTAATCATTCCTCTTCTGAGGTCTCACTCCAGGGTCGGTTTAGGTAGCAGGAGAAAGGCTTTTCTTTCCTGGACACTCCAGTGCCTATGCTGTCATCAGTTCTCCACTGCATCTCTTCTAAGTGTCAAGTATGCTTTGGCATTTATTAGTGTGAGTTTCTTCTTGCAAATAAGCATCACTGAATTTTGTGTGTGGTTGCACACAGCCAGCAAAGAATTATTTGAGTGGATGTCATAATGATTGTACACAATTACTTAGTCATTTTGACCTGTTTTTGTGTAAATTATTAATTGAAATGTGTTTGATTCATTTTACATGTTTATTTTTAAGTGAATACCAAAGAGACATAAATGGTATGTTTGTTTTATGGTGGTCTAGGTGAAATCGACAAAACATTGATCTACAAGAAACTGGAGGAAGACATGACCAAGTAATTAGACATTTTCCTTACTGTTGTTTCATTAACCCTTTCTGTATCAATCCAATTATAGAAATGTTTAAAATTTTACATTGTCATGAAATTTTGAGAACAATACCATCATTTGTTTTCAAGGAGGATACAATGTACAATTTTTTAAACAAAAGTGTTTGTTGCATAAGATGTACTAAAATTAAGGTTAAGTCTATGCTAGAGTTATGTATGCATCTGCAAATATAGAATACTATATATGGAGAAATTAAAGAACTTCAAAGTAGTCTTTGAAAGTACACTTGCATTAAGAATAATCATTTTCCATGGCTTTATAATTAATCGTTTACTTCATAGATGTCTTTAGTCATGATATGATAATAAGAACAGCCAGGAGGAATTTTTTTTTTTAGTTCATCTAATTTTAAACAGTGAAAGAAAACACCCCAGGAAAAATGTAGTTACTGTGACCCTGCCTTAGGATACTTTGTTAATGATTTACATATCACAAAGGTTACTCCCCAGAATAGTTTATAACAGATGTCCAAAGGTAGGTGTTAGTGAATCAAATGATGAGGATTCAATTATACAAAAATGATCAAATAGTTTTGACAAAAGTTGAGACATTTGAGTATAGTTTGAAAAATGAGAACCAAATACCTCCAATTATTTCTGAGAAAAGGCAATTTTTTTTATATTGGGGAAACTAAGCTGTGTTAATATATGTTACATTAAAATACCTTACTGAGTCTCAAGCATAAGTTCTACTTTGAAATAGAAATTCCTTGTAACTTCCTCTTGCTATATCATTAGCACTTGGGTAAAAATTAATTACGGAGTTATATATTAACTAAAATTTAGCATTCCAATTACATCTTCTCTCATAAAGGAATTGTAAATTACAAGATCTAGCTTGGGGAATTTTTTTTAATAAGATTCCTGATGGAATTTATGTACATCAAATTGTGAACAATAACATCAGAGGCTATCTGCTTAGTGCAGAGTCATTTTTATAGCTTCTGCATATTATACACATTATTAGAAGACAGAAAATAGAGAACTTTAAAATTTTGTATCCTGCACTTTAATTTAGAATATCTACTTTTAACTAAATAATAATTCTTTAGGGAAGCCTAAGAGATGTTTGCTTTCTAAATATAAAGACTCAGGAAGGAAACATTAACTTATCATTTGTAAATATCAAAGGTCTGGTTCCAGAATGCTTGTTTTTTGATTGTTAAAGTTTAAGAAGGGAAGGATACATTTAAGGAGAGTTCATTATGGTCACTTTGGAAAGTGAGATACAAATATTTTTAACTTTCAGTTTTCACTTAACATCTAACTTCTGCTAGCCCCAAATGGCAGGAGACCATTTCCATCTTTTGGTTCCACTTTCTGAGAAGTCCTGTCACCTTCTTTCTACCTCTCAATGTGCAGACAACACTCCAAAGTACTTACCAAACTGATGCTGATGTAATAAAAGTGGAGAGGACTGCAATAACACATTTTGCTTAATTGCCCCAAACAGTCTGTCACAATAATTGGCATACTCTGAGTGCCAGACGCTGCCCCAAGTGGACTGCTTTACTGTTCTTATCTCAATTTCACCAATCAGAAATCGGAGGCTTAGAAAGGTTAAGCAGCTTGCCTGAGACAACACAACAGTTTAGTGAAGGGCTGGGATTTACCCAGAAGCAGAAATTGCTGTTAACCATTCCTCAAAATTAGGGCAAAGTTGGATCCCTTTCTTATATGTTAAGGATGGTGAAATACCCTGATAACTGCAAAGTTTAGGACTAAGTGGTTTGTTTGGGTGAGATGCATTGATAGAAAACAGCACATATGTTGTGTGGTCATTGTTTTTCAGGTATGCCTATTATTACACTGGAATTGGTGCTGGGTGCTTGTTGCTGCTTACATTCAGGTTTCATTTTGGTGTCTGGCAGCTGGAAGACAAATAAACAAAATCAGGAAAAAGTTTTTTCATGCTATCATGAAGCAGGAGATAGGCTGGTTTGATGTGCATGATGTTGGGGAACTTAACACGCGGCTCACAGAGTAAGTACCTACCTTTATGTTTTGCTTAGATGAGGTTCTTACTCTTAATGAAGTGAAACAGATGTCAGCATCAGCTCTGTTAGAAGAAGTTAGTGTATCACCAGAAGTAATTACAAGACTGAATTCCTTGTGAGCAGCAATCACGCCTCATGCATGTTTCCCCCCCCGCTGTACTCTAGCCGGGCAGGAGAGGACCTGAATGACTACCAGTGAATGAGGAATTGGACTTGTGCCTGACTCTGGGAATGTTAGTACAGCAATGTGCAGTAGAGCACATATGATGCTTTCTGGAGAAATTCCAAGCAATTTGAAATTTCTACCTTGAATACTTGAGTACACCATGTGCATTTCCTGGGGCAGTGTGGACTACAGATTCCTGTTGTTAATGACACATTTCCCACCAGAAACTGACACCCTGCCAAATAAAACAAGCATACACACAAAGCCCCTAGATATAAACCAATGCACCCAACCCTCAGCAAGAAAACAAAACTGAATGCAGGAGAAAGTTCTATGTTTGCAATTCTGACATTTTTTTCTAACTTTTCTTTTTAGTGATGTCTCCAAAATTAATGAAGGAATTGGTGACAAAATTGGAATGTTCTTTCAGTCAATGGCAACGTTTTTCACAGGTTTCATAGTAGGATTTACACGTGGCTGGAAGCTAACCCTTGTGATTTTGGCTGTCAGCCCTGTTCTCGGACTGTCAGCCGGTATCTGGGCAAAGGTAGGTGAAGTTTGTGAATCCGGATTTTAAACTGTTCTCCTAACACCGCAGAAGGGTCTTTTAACCACAATAGCCCTGATTCTGAATTTGATACTTGTTTTTAAATCTTTAAAAATCAGGTGAGCCAGACTCTGTTTTCCTTGGTCATGTCCTTGGATTATTTGAGGAAGGTATGAGAAAGAAGGAAGGAGCTCTTCCATCTCATCCTCCGCCTTCATACAAAAGACATGTGAACTCTAAAGACCTATGTCCTGTAATGCACAATGCCTTGTTCATATACCAAGTAAAGATTCAAGTTCAGTGAGCAACTCAAGTACCATTCAATTAACATTTTCCTCTTTTAATTGTTTTATAGATTTTGTTTACTTTGTAAATTGATAGTTTTGTCAATGTTGTAAATGCCTCTATAGTTATACATATTCAAACCTATTTTTATGAACGTAATTTATAAAAATAGATACACTGTAGCCCTGAACAAATGTAAATCCTTAGCCATTAGTTCCCTCTCTCAGTTTCAGGGAAAGAATCTCTGTACACATCTCCAATGATTTTGTTAAAGTTATTTTCCCTCTCTAGGTTGGCAAGTAATTCATTTTATTAAATGATTTGATGTATGTGTGGGTATTTGGTGGAGAGATTGGCTTAGCACATAGTTTTTTGTTGGATTCCACATAACTTAGTGAAGGCATACAAATACATGAAGCAAAAAATAAGTAATGGATGTCCAAGCAAAGATTAGCTTATCACGAAATAAGTGAGCCTGTAAATATTCAGAAGTTTTAAAACTTTTTCCTTGTAAGATGGATATTGTTTTTCTCATTATGAAACGATAAATGTTCTTATCCTTTATGGATATGAGCATATCCATATTTGTTATATCCTATAAATATATGTGATATCTTTCTGAAATATAGATATTATCTCATTTTAGACAAGCAGAAAGTGAAGTTCTGAGAGTTCTGTTAATTTGTCACTGAGAGAAATACCAGTGTAAATGGTGCTCCTGGTGGTTATCGGTTAGCCAGAATATTTGGCAGAGCTTCTTTTAATTGATTTTTCTGTGTACTAGACCATTGAACATTAGGTGTAAACTCTTCACATCAGCATTAATTGAAAAATTATTTAAAATGTGTTGATATCCATTCTAAATTCAGTTAGGAGAGCAGACCATAACTTAATCTTTTAGTAATTAATTTTACATTACCTCAGATACTATTTACTTAGTAAAAGGAGATCTAGGCTGTCTGCTGGCAACCAAACTTTAATTGCAACTCTGTCATAATCTTTTGGTATAATTTTAAGCACATTTCTGGAATTCTTTAATTGTCAGCCATATTAACAAACATATATGGCCTAGTTTAGGGAAACTGTTTTGTCCCTGTGAGCAAAGCAAGTAGGAAGAACAAGAAGGTTTCTAGTCACAGTAATCAGTGTGGCCTTGAAAGTCCTTTTGTATCCATGTGCTTAAGACTTTCTTCTTCTGCCCAGAGTCCCTGGGGTAGGTAGGTGGCACTGGTAGAGGAAACCACCACACTTTTTGCTTACCAAAAGATACCTAGTAGTCTGACCTTAAAAAACTACCTCTACTTGTTAGGAAGCTAAACCCAGGGCCAGTGGGAGCTCTAGCAGATCCAGAGAAAACAAGCTGACCAAAATAATCCCATGATGGCTCTAACCATTAAGTGGTCACTGGACCCACAGCTTACCAAAATAGGCCAAGAATATCATCTTAAACCTAAAGAGGGAGATTATGGGGTTAAATATAAGATATGAATAAATAACACAGTTTCCTAACATATTAGTAAAAATGCCCAGGATATAATATAGTCACCTATCATAAAAGAACCTAGAAAATCACAACATGAATAAGAAAATAAAAACATTTAACTGACTCCAGCATTGAGATAAATCAGATATTGGAATTATCTGACAAAGATTTTAAAACAGCTCTCATAAAAATACCTAGTTAATTATAAATTCTTTTGAGGCAATAGAAAGTACCAGCCACAAAATGAAAGTTATTGAAAAAAACAAGATGACATTAGAGACTTGAGAGATACATTACTAAGATTCATGATGCATGGCTTAATCTAGGTAAATAAAAATGACAGACTCAGTGAACCTGGATATAGAATAAAAGAATTTCCCAGTCTATAACACAGAAAATGAAGAGCTTCAGGGACCTATGGAGCAATAACAAAAGATCCAAAGTTTACATAAGCATCACGAGTCCCATAAGTTGAGGAGCCCGAGAGTGAGGTTGAAGGAGTATTTGAAGAACTAATAGCTTAAAACTTCCAGTATATTGAAGATGCTGATTTGACTACAAATAGGATAAACCCAAAATAATCCATGCCAAGATGCATAGTAATTAAATATTGAAAACTGAAAACTAAGAAAAAATTCTCGAAAGAAGCCAGAGAGAAACAACACATTGTCTATTAGGGAACAACAATTTGAATGATAATGTATTTTCTCATCTGAAATTCTGTGAATGCCAGAAGGAAGTAACACAATATTTTTCAGGTACTCAAAAGATAAATAAAAGCTATCAAGTGTGAAAACTATTCTTTAGGAATGACAGGTAAGCACTCTGAGATCAAAAAAATAAATACTTTTACTAGTATACCTTCTGTCAAAGACTGGCTTAGTGAAGCTCTTCAAAAAAAGGAAATAATTGGAAAAGGAACATCAGAGCATCAGCAAGTGAAAGGAACAACAGAAAGAGCTGAAATTTGGATATACACAATATCTTTCCTTTTCCCAAAGAGACTTATAAATCACATTTGATGGCTGACCTCAAAAGTGTAAGTGGTAAAATATTAATACCATTGAATGTTGTAAGTCACATATGAATGTCATAATATCCAGAGAAGCCATTAAGATACTCATTGAGAATGATATGTTTAAAAATACTACAAATAAATCAAAATGAAATCCTAAAATTTATCAAATAACCCACAGAAAAACAGGAAAAAAGAAGGGGAATGAGAAGCAGAGGAAACAAGTAGAAAACAATAATAAAATGGTAGGCTTAAGTGCTAATCATTAAGTACCTTAAATGTAAATTTTTAAGTAGACTAATTAAAAGTTGTGAAGATGATTAAAAAGAATATGCTGCTTATATGAAACTTAAAATTCACCAATATAGGGGAGAAGTAAAAGTAAGGAGCAAGACATATAAACATTGATTTTTTAAAAAGGAGGTGTGGCTCTATTATATCTGATTATCTAAACTTGAGAGTAAAGAAAATTGCTACAGAGAAAAGAGGAACATAACATAATGATAAGAATTTGCCCACTAGGAGGACATGATCCTAAAGATCTTAATAACACAATTAATAAGAACCTAATTGGTATTTTATACCACTGCATCCAGCTGCAGTGGGGTGCATATTATTCTTATTTGATTGTCAAGTACTAATGAAAGACTCTTCATAAGATAGATCATATGGAACTTCAAGAAACTTCAGTGCTGGACGCCTGTGGCTCACGCCTGTAATCCTAGCTACTTAGGAGGCAGAGATCAGGAGGCTTGAGGTTCGATGCCAGCCCAGGCAAATAGTTTATGAGACCCTATCTCAAAAAATCCTTCACAAAAAAAAAAAAAATTAGGGCTGATGGAGTAGTTCAAGTCCGAGTTCTGCAAAAAAACACCAAGAAAACCAAAACAAACAAACAAAAAAAAACCCACCAAGCTTAATTGTGACCATAAAATGTGTTTTCTTTGATTATAGCAGCATCAGAGTATAAGCCAATAACAAGAAAGGCAAGGAAATCTCTACACATGTGGAAATTAAACAGCATACCTTTATATAATTCATGGATCACATAAGAAGTCTTAAAGGAATTTAAAAAATAATACATAGAACAACATATAAAACATTTTGGATGCTGCTGAGGAAGTGCTAATAGAAAAATTTTTATAGCTTTAAATATTTGTATTAGAAATGAGGATATTCTCAAATCACCTAAGTGCCTAACTTAAGAAACTAGAAATAAAAGCCAGGTGCAGTGGTGCATACCAATTAGAAGGTGGAAGGCAATAAGATCAGACAAAAAGTTCACAAGACCCCATCTCAATCAATAAAATCTAGGCTTGGTGTTACATGCCTGTTATCCCAGCTATGTGGAAAACATAAGTAGGAGGATCATACTCCTGGCCAGCCTGGGCATATATGTGAGACCCCATGCAAAAAGTAACTAAATCAGCTGAGCACTGGTGGCTCGTGGCTGTAATCCCAGCTACTCAAGAGGTAGAGGTCAGGAGTATCATGGTTCAAAGCCAGACTCTATCTTGAAAATACCCAACACACAAAAAAATGGCTGAGTAGCTCAAGTGGTGAGCCCCTGCCTAGTAAGTCTGAGGCCCTGAGTTCAAACACCCAGTGCTGCTAAAAAAAATTAATAATAACTAAACCAAAAAGGGCTAGGGGCTTGGCTCCTAAGAGTAGAGTGCCTGCCTGACAAGTGTAAGACCCTAAGTGCAAACCTTAGTACCGCCTTCCAAAAAGTAGAAAATAAAACCAAATCAAGTAGAAGAGGGAAACAGCAATAAGTACAGAAACCAATGAAATTGAAAATAGAAACAATAAAGAAAATACATGAAACAGAAAATTAGCTCACCAAAAGATCAATAAAGTTGACTTCACTGTGAGTGAAACTGATAAAAAAAATGACAAGAAAGACAATTTATCAGAAATTAAATATAGGGAATATCACTAGAAATCCTGTAGATATTAAAGAGATAAAAGAATTTTATGCTCATAAACTTGATAACTTAAGAATCAATTATTTTATGTATACCTCTTATATATCTTGAATATTCCACATTATACCCTAAGTGAACTGATTTGAACTAAACAACCTGAATGGCCTTTCATCACTGAAGAAATGTAATTTGTAACTTCAAAGCTGCTGAGAAAGATTTCTGGAATCCTAGATGGTTTCACTAGAAAATTCTATGAAATATTTAGAGAAGAATTAACAATACAACCTGCCCTGAATAAAAGAAGAGGAAGAAGTACTTCTTA